ACTAGGGATTGAATTCAGGGCCTTTCTGCTAGGCCTGAATTTAGGCTTTCTTGCTAGGTCACTTAAGCCACAACCTCCCCCCATGCCTTCCTCCATCTCAATTTGCTTTAGCTGTTTTTCAGATAGGCTCTTAAGCCCAGGGCTGACCACAGACCATGATTCTCCTACATAGCCTCCCACATAGCTGTGGTTACAGATGCAGCCACTGCATATACTTTATTTGTTGAGGTAGGATCTTATGTTGTCAAGGCTGGCCTCAAACTGATGTTCTTATCTGTGCCTCTTAAGTAGCTGTGATTTTGAGCATATGTGCCACCATGTCTGGCCACAAAGTTTTTGCCCAGTAATATTCCATGTTATATATAACATATGCATATATACAAATGTATATTATATATTTTTATCCAATAAAAATTGGTGGGTGACAGTTTCTTGACAAATTCAGTTATAAAACTGGTTTGTTTGTCCTAGAGAATTTGTGCAATCTGAATGCTTTTGATACCATTACTGTTAACCATTTTCATGTATTTGTATATTTTTGCATTAATATTTAGCTCTGGGAGTTCAATCCAGATACATATTTTTTGTTTTGGAAGTGAAGGGGAGAGCAATACTTGATGGAAGTGTTGTGTTCTCTCACCAAAATGCTGATAAAGTCTTAAGTGTTATTTATGTGATGTTAACTGACAATATTATTGCCTAATTTCGCTAATTCATTAGGGATTTTACATTCAGTGCCTATTTCTCAGAGAGTTAATATAAAATCTTTGCATTAAAATTTCATACTCCTTACTACACTGGGAAAATGATGCATATGCACACGTATGTGATGTTTTTGCTGTCTTATTCAGCTTTTTCATAAGATTTTTCTAGAAGTTTTTACATATAATGTCACATGCCTATCAGTGTTTGTGAAAAAGACATTTTCCTTGTTTCATTGATTGGCTAGATTGTGGGAACATGTGATCAACAACAGCAGTGAAGGTGACTCGTTAGTAATCTCTCATGGACATTTATACTCACCCAAGTATGGAGGTACCTTATTTCTCTGTGGTGTTATAATTAAGTTGCCAATACTGCTGATGGGTTTGGGCCTCCCTTTTATCCATGATGCCAAAGACTGTATTTGGTGTCCACAAAGTGCCACGGGGTTCCAGGACTCCTGCTAGCCTCAGCTAAAAATAATGCGGCTGGCTAGTGTTTTCTAAGTAAGCACCACACAGAGGAACTGTGCTGAGGCGGAGCTAAAAATCACATACTGTAGGACCTACAGGCCAAGGAAGCAGATGCCTGACCAGCTGTCATTCATAGGTTCCTAGGCACAGAGACATTGTGGTGTACTTGTCTACCTGAGTGTATGTCCTCCAAGGAAAATGTCATTCGTGCCTGCCCTCCTGTGTGCCCCCTTGAACTTAGAGCCTGGGCGCCATCTCTGACGTCTTTTGCTGGTTAATTGTAGATTGTCTCAGAAACACTACTGCGTGGGATGGCTTTGAGCCATGATCCTCAGATCTAAGCCTCCTGAGTAGCTAGTGTTATAGGCATAAATCACCAGTACCGAGCAGTAAGTACATTTTATTTTTGTTGGTCGTGGGGTTTGAACTCTGGGCATGGGCGCTGTCCCTCAGCTCTATAGCTCAAGGCGAGGGCTCTACCACTTGAGCTACAGTGCCACTTCCGGTTTTCTGGTGGTTTATTGAAGATAGGAGTCTCACGGTCTCTCCTGCCCGGGCTGGCTTTGAACCCCGATCCTCAGATCTCAGCCTCCTGAGTAGCTAGGATTATAGGCATGAGCCACCAGCGCCCGGCTAGTAAGTACATTTTAAAGAATACTTTTATTTCTAGATGAGGAAGGAGTATATTTCCCTCTTCCCTGAAGCAAAATTGTACAGCATGTCTTAAGGGCAGAAACCAAGTTCTCTGGAGTTGGAACTTTGGGAGGGTAGCTTTCTCCTTGAGCTGTTCCCACTACCCTGAGCTACTGATTGATTTCCCAGGTAAGGTCTCAGATGGATTCTTTGTTCAGAACACTATAATCTAAAACTTAGGAAATGCTCTCCAAGAGGCACTGCTCCCTGGCACTGCTCCCTGACACCGCTAAACAAGTTTCTTCTTGCAACTAGAGAGGGGGCTTGCTGTGTTTGACAAATGTCAGACCTGTTAATCCAACCATAGAGCTTGTTCGGCCAGAAGGTTTTTGACAGTAAAATAGGAAACATTTTGCTGCTCTCATTGCAGGGAACCACTTCTAGCAAGGAACAAGTTGACTAGTAACAGCAACAAATTCAACTGCAGGACCATATCTTGTACTGTTTCAGAGAAGGAAAAGGGGGTGGGCCTAGGAGAGGTCTCTGAGTTCTTTCCTTCTTCACACCCAGCCTTAGCTGAGAAGAGCCAAGAAAGGGATATTGGAGGCAACAGTCAGGCACTTGGCTGGCAGTTGGACTTATGGCCAGAAGGCAAGACATATGCCGCACAACTTTTGAATATAGCCACAGCCACTTGACGTTTACAGGCCACAAGGGTATCTGGCCACTTCCTTAGATCAGCCCCAGACCAACAGGCAAAAAAGTATCTTTAGATCCCCCAACCAGCTAACCGGCCAGACAGGTTCCTGACTAGACAGACTTTTAAATGGACAGACAAGACCAGGGAAACACACTTTTTAACTAGATAGTAATCCAACAAATTCTTAGTTAAGACTCCAGCTGGATAGCCTCATAGAACTGTAGCCAGAGAAAATATCACTCTCCCCAGCTGACTGGAAAGTGGAGCCCAGACAACCAGAAGACAAAACCCCTTCCAAATGGACAGATATTTGCCTAGTAGAGAAACATCGTAGGTTCTTGCAGGTTGCTACAACAAAGATCCCCATAGCACAATCCCACTTTCTAGACAGACATATCTTGCCTGCCAGGCCTCTCAAATTGGAGACAGATTCTCAGCTCCTACTTGGTCAGAGATCTCAGTTACTGGGTTCATTTTTTCTGCTCTCTGCTTAACACCATAACTGGTCCATTGGCTCTTTAGGGCCATAGCCACTTCCAGGTACCACCAGAGATGTCACCACCTTATGGTGACATGTATCACTACACTCCACAGAGACCTTGAATGATCCTTCAGTGACTTTCCACTGTTTCCTCTGGCATCCCCTAGTCATGAATGACTGTCGTTAGCAGGCACAAAGACTTGTTTTTCATGACTTCCCCAACAAACCGCTGTTTTCTATAAATTTATATTCCCTTCTGTGTCCAGCTTTCCTGAGTGTCCAGCCATCAGTGCCCACTCATAAAGCATCAGCAATTCCACTGGTATCCAACAATGAGTAAGAGTTCTCATTTCCCAAATTTCTGTACCTCAAACACCAGTAGCCCCTTGATTACTTTCACTTTCTTTCACTGATCAATTCCTTGCTTCAAATAAACCACTGAACTCCAGTGAATTAACTTCTCCTGTTCATTGTCAATGATAATTACTGACTGTCGCCTTAGGTCACAGATGCAAGCTGACACAATAAACATCAAGTCCACAATTACCTCCCTTCCAGGAACCCACAATAAGTGAAACACCACTAGTTGTTTATACACACTTTAATCATGTAAGGTCACAGACTAGTTTTTAAAATTTTTTAAAAATTAATGAAATTTGAGATTGTGTCCATACTGTTTTGTTGGAATGTAGCCACATTTGTTTATATGTTGCTGCTATCTCTGGACCTGTCAAAAGCGGAGAAATAGCTGGGACAAAGATCAGCAGCAAGCCTGGAGTTGGTGGCTCACGCCTGTAATTCTAGCTACTCAAGAGGCTGAGATCTGAGGATAACGGTTCAAAGCCAGCCCGGGCAGGAAAGTCCGTGAGACTCTTACCTCTAATAAACCACCAGAAACCGGAAGTGGCATGTGGCTCAAGAGGTAGAGCGCTTGCCTTGAGCTGAAGAGCTGAGGGACAGCGCCCAGGCCCAGAGTTCAGGCCCCACGACTGACAAAAATAAAAAACAGCAACAAAGCCAAAACCATTCTGGCCATCCCTAACTTAAACTCTGATGACTTCTAATGAATTAAATGATCCTGTTTCAGTGACTTAAAACACACAACCTACCTTGCCACACTGAACAATCTCAAACTGTCTACTGAACCCCTCCCAATGACAACTCTCAGAATACTTGCTTGCCCTCAGTGGTAGGAGTCAACCCGTCTACCTGAGCCAGTCCAGTTTCTCCATCATTCCCATCCCCAACCCTTGACCTGAGACAGCAGGACTGACCTCATGCACATTTTTCTGAACGCGAGAGAAGAAAACGATGATCTGAGACGTTCCTTACTCTGGAACTCATTTCCGGTGCTTCAACCCTCAGCTTCTAGGCAGAGGTATATGGATTGAGATCAAGTTTCCAGGATCTTTGCCCTCCCAGCTGGGTCCAAGGGCTCACAGGAAGAACAACCTCAGGAAATGGTTCTCCTTGGTCTTTCCAAAAACACCAGGAGCAGAAGCAACCTGATCCGGGCAATTGTCTCAACCGAGTACTTAATGCTTCATCCAGGTTGGGACACTTATACAAACTGGCTCCGAGGAGACAGCTGTCCCAAGAGGCTACCCCGAGGGCGTGGTTTTTAACATACAAGAATGAAAATAAATCTTAAGTCTAAACAACTTACACATGTAAATAAATGTATTGTCGAAGTAAAATATATTTACATAGAAGTAAACATTTACGCTGAGTAGGGACCAGGAAGCCAGCCCCAGATGAAGATTATGGGTTAGGTAGGAATGAGGGTGCAGCTTCGTGTTCTTAACCTGTGGGCGTGGCGGGAACAGAAAGGGAAGCGCCCGGCCGGGACTCCCTTACCCCTCCCAGCGCACCATTGCTTCCCTGCCCGGGGCCGCCGGGTTGGGCGGGGAGGGAAAACAGCCGGATGCCATTGGCCGAGGGGCCCGCCCAGCCCTGCCCTTGCCCACTCCCATTGGCTTCCCTGGAAGAAGGGGGCGTCCCTTCGCCGGCCTCTGCCTCCTTAAGTGTTGCCCCAGGGTGAAAACGCGGAGACCCTTGCCCGGGCCGGACTTCCAAGCTGGAGGCGCCATGAGCCGCAGCGTGGACGCTGTACGAAGCTACCTGGAGCAGCTGGAGGCGCGGCGTGGCCGGGAAGAGGCAGTCCTTGCCGGCGAGTTCAGCGTGAGTGGGCGAGTGTGGACAGTCTTACCGAGCGTTCGGCGCTTCACGCCGGACAGTCCGGGCGTCTGTCCCTCTGTGCAGCTCGCAGGCTCTGCTCTTTCTCTGGGTGCCCCGGGCCGTCTTCCCGCCCCAAGGGTTCTGGCTTTCCCGGTCCCAGCACCTCCGTAGCCCTTGTCGTGTTCTTCACCTCCGCTTGCAGGTCTCCAGAGGCCGAAGTCCAAGGCCGGCCTGCTCATGTCTCCTTGTTCTGTTCCCCTTCCAGAACGATCTTGCTTTGGGGCAGGGCGGGGCAGGTGCCCCGGAGTCGGCAGCGGCACCCCTGCTTGGGAAGTCCCTTGCCCAGGCCGCTCCTTAGCGGGTTGCCCAGTGACCCCAGGCAAGAGAGAAACTGGGGAGCAGAGGGAAGAACTGGGGCAAGGCTCCGGGCCGGCAATTCGAATCTGGGCCTGCTTTTCAGGGCTGTGGTTCTGGGAGGGTTACCTGGCCCCTCTGGTCTCAGTTCTCCTTTGTTGAAATGGGGATATGAGTGACCAAACTATCTCGAGAATAGTAGATAAAAGCCCTCATCTTGGGGTACTTCTTAGGTGCCTTGTCCCCACTTAGAAAGACTCCAGACATTACCGTACGAATAGTGCAAATCAAGTTTGATGAGTACTCATGCAGTGCCATAGGTATGACACTACAAGCAATGAAATACTTCAAATACAGAGCCGGGCGCTGGTGGCTCACACCTGTAATCCTAGCTACTCAGGAGGCTGAGATCTGAGGATCGCGGTTCAATGCCAGTCTGGGCAGGAGAGACCGTGAGACTCCTATCTCCAATAAACCACCAGAAAACCGGAAGTGGCGCTGTAGCTCAAGCGGTAGAGCGCTAGCCTTGAGCTGAAGAGCTGAGGGACAGCGCCCATGCCCAGAGTTCAAGCCCCACGACCGACCAAAAAAAAAATACTTCAAATATAAGTAACTTGTCCAAATATGTAAGCACACATGCCAAATTTAGCAGTGTGTAATATTTATTGCGAAGTCATAAAACTATTACTTTAAATCACAATTTGCACAACAAACATAACTTCATAGAACAACAGTACAACAAACATAAATAGAATAAACGAAGAATAAATTCAGCCTAACTTCCCAAGTGAATATACAATATAACATATGCTACACAAATACATCTGAGATGGATCATCAACCTAAAATATATTTTATAAATAGGAAAACTTACATAAATGGAAACACAATGTTCATGCGGTTTATGGTCAAGTTGTATGGTCCTCTGTGGGGTGAGAGTTGGGTGACAAGGACACCTTCTGCTCCTGAACCATCCTGCTTGCTAGAGACTTTTGTTTCTCATCTGTAATAGAAACACCAATAGTGCTGGTGCCCTTGGCTGACGCCTGTTATCCCAGGTACTTAAGAAACTGAGAGATCTGAGGATGGCAGTTCCAAGCCAGCATGAAGTCTATGAGAGACTTTTATCTCCAATTAACTACCAATAAAAAGCTGACACTGGAGTTGTGGCTCAAGTGGTAGAGAGCCTGCCTTGAGAAAACAAAAACAAAAAGACTATGAGTCCAAGCCCCCAGTACTGGCACACACACACTCACACAAATATCAGTAGTAGTAACCACTACAGGAGGGTGTCTTTAGGGGCTTAAGTAACCTGAGGAATGTAAAGTGGCTTAATAGGTGTTATTTATTATCATTGTGATTATGAATAACTGATGATGATGTTAATACACTAATCATCAATTATAATCACCAGTAATAAAGTACCAATAGTGTCTTCCAATATAAAGAATATGCTGAATGCCTTGTACATTCATGTGTATTGTCATATATTGTTTCATCAGATTACATATCACAAATATATTTTATCACAGTTATTGCTTACAACACTGTAACACAGATTGAGTGTGCAGGAGCTGACAGGTCTATGTTCAGCCTTCATTGTGACCCCTTTCGATGGACCCTTTGGCCAGTCACTTGGCCATGTGTGCTTTAGCTTTGTCATTTGCACAATGAGGATCTCAGAAGCAGGACCTACTTTATAGGGACCTTTTGAGAATTGCGGGGCCTGGCGTAGAGAGTGCCCTTTTGGCTGGTGTTATTTTACCGTCTTATTATTACATCGGTCCTGAGCCACTGGGGGTCTACACTCGTTTCTCTTGGGGCTCTTTGCCCGTGTTCTCTGAATGCCTCGGTGTCCCAGGGCTTCTCACTTGGCTCCTTGCTTCCTCTGTTCTGCCTTCTTGATCGGTTCGCGGTACCACCCGCCAGGACCTCCTGGCCCGCTCTGCTGCCTGGAGGACTCAGGGCGTGCGCTCCACCGAGGCTGGCAGTCGGTGTGAAAACGCAACGAAGAACCGCTACAAGGACGTGGTGCCGTGTAAGTCGGGGCTTCCTGGGGAGCCGCCAACCTGCTGGTCTGGGCGAGCTGGGGGCGCCCAGCCTCCCCGACCTGGCAGACAGGGCTCGGGCAGCCCAGGTAGGCCTGTGGAGGACCCCTGAGGCATCCAGAGCCCGGTGCCCGGCACTCTTCCATCTCTCCCCCCTGGCAGACGATCAGACTCGAGTGATTCTCTCCTTGCTCCAAGAAGAGGGGCTGGGTGACTACATCAACGCCAACTTCATCCAGGCAGGCCGGTGTTCCGGGGAAGGGCGGGCTGGAGGTGGCAGGGTGTCCCGCGGAACTTCATGAGCGGATGGGCCGTGTCTAGGGCGCAGATGGTGGCCGGGCCTATATTGCCACTCAAGGACCCCTACCCCACACCCTCCTAGACTTCTGGCGCCTTGTCTGGGAGTTTGATGTCAAGGTTAGTTCTGAGGACTGGGAACACGGGTGAGGGTTTTAGTGCCTCTTCTCTGCTTCTCCCAATCCATATATCCTCTCTATCCTCTTCGCCCCTTGCCCAGGTGATCCTGATGGCTTGTCGAGAGACCGAGAACGGACGGGTATGTGTGGGAATGCCAGACCCATGCTGGGAGCGGGGGAGAAGGAATCCTGTTAGGGCCTTCCTGATCCTAGGACGTCAGGGTTACTTCACTGTGGAAAGCCACTAATTCTAATCTTGCTCCATCTTTTTCCATTTGCTCATGGAGCTTATTCTTACCGCACTGGCGGCCCTCCTCCTGAATTTCTCCGCTGTGCAACACGATATAGCTAACGCTCTGTACCGACTAGTTTCCGCCACATGGCTCTGATCTCTTTATATATCTCTCCCCTTCATTCTCATTCCCCTCTCCCTATGCTGGCCTCTGCTATTTCTCAGAGATACCAAGAAGGGTTCTGCCTGAGACCTTTTCATCCTCTCCTCAGGCCTGTCTTCCTTTTTTTTTTGGGGGGGGGGTCCGGTCATGGGGTTTGAACTCAGGGCCTGGGCGCTGTCCCTCAGCTCTTCAGCTCAAGGCTAGCACTCTACCACTTGAGCCACAGTGCCACTTCCGCTTTTTTCTTTTTGCTTATGTGGTACTGAGGAATCGAACCCAGGGCCTCATGCATGCAAGGCAAGCGCTCTACCGTTGAGCCACCTTCCCAGCCCCAGGCCTATCTTCCTTTGTGCCATCTTCCTACACTTACTTGCACAGTAACTTTGCTCTCCAGCATCCTGTTCTCCTTTCCTTGCCCTCCTTTTCCATTTTTATTTACACTTCTTACTGTCTTCTAAGGCACTAGATAATTTTAAGATAAAATAGGCTCTATATTATTAGTGTATTCCATAGCTTACAACTTTTGCTTTCAATTTTCTTTTCTTCTCTTTTTTTGTGGGGGTGGTCTGGTCATGGGGCCTGAACTCTAGGCCTGGGCGCTGTCCCTCAGCTCTTCAGCTCAAGGCTAGCGCTCTACCACTTGAGCCACAGCACCACTTCCGGCTTTTTTCTTTTTGCTTATGTGGTGCTGAGGAATCGAACCCAGGGCCTCAGGCATGCAAAGCAAGCGCTCTACCACTGAGCCACCTTCCCAGCCCTCAATTTTCTTTTTGAAGCAACTTTATTGAGAGGTGGTGCACACTCAAAATCCCAGGTACTAGGGAAGCTGAAGTGGAAGAATCATGGGACCAGCCTGGCCAACTCAGTAAGACACTGTTTCAGAAAAACAAAATACGCAATGGATCCATTTGAAGGGTCCAATTCAATTGTTTTTTTAGCATACTCTGAGTTATACAACCATTCCCACCAGAGAGTTTAGATTACAACCCTAGCTGACACCTACTCTACTTTTGATCTCTTTAGATTTGTCTACTCTGGATGTCTTATATAAATGAAATCCATATATGTATTTTTAAAAAAAAACTGGCTTCCTAATGTATTTTGAGAATTCATGAAAATATTGTAACACTTATCAATACTTCATTTACTCTTATGTAATACTATCCCATTGAGTGTATCTTCCACATTTTAATTCTCCATTAAGCAGTTTATTGAATTAGGATTATTTCCACTTTTTTTAAACTATTATGAAACATGCTGCTGAAGCATTCACACATAAGTCTTTATGTGGATAGTTGCTTTCATTTCTCTTGAGAGTATACCAAGCAGTGGAATTGCTGGGTCACATGAGAACTCTATTTTTAATATTTTGAGGAAGTGACCAGCTGTTTTCCATGTAGCTACAAAATGTTACATTCTCACAACAATGCATGACAACCCCAGCCTCTGTATTCCCATCATTTGCAATTCTGTAGTGTTTTTTTTATTAATATAAAAGTGGTTTCTTACTGAGACTCTTCTAAAATTACATATAATATAAAAGTTGCCTTTTGGCTCACCTCTTAGTTCTAACTACTTATGAAGCTAAGAAAGCAAGGATCAGAGTTCAAGGCTAGCCCTTGTAGAAAAGTTCTTGAGACTTTATCTAGAAAATAACCAGTAAATCAGAAGGCTAGAAGTGCTAGAGCATCAGCTGAACAAGCTCAAGGCCTTGAGTTCAAACCCTAGTACCCCCCCACTTGAACCTCACACAAAAATTGCTTTTTAATAATCTAAGTATGTAATTCAGTCGCAGTAATACATTCTCATTGTTATACAATATCACAGTATCCATTTTCAGAACTCTCCAAACATAAACTCTGCATTCATTAAACAATTTTTCCTCATTCCCTCCCCCAGATCTTAGTCATCTCTATTTTTTCTGTCTTTATTAATTTTCTTTGTCCTTTTGTCTTTGGTTTCTTTTGAGGGGGTGTCTGGTCATGGGGCCTGAACTCTGGGCCTGGTGCTGACCCTCAGCTCTTCAGCTCAGGGCTAGCACTCTACCACTTGAGCCACAGCACCACTTCTGGCTTTTTTCTTTTTGCTTATGTGGTGCTGAGGAATCCAACCCAGGGCCTCAGGCATGCAAGACACGCGCTCTACCACCGAGCCACCTTCCCAGCCCCTGTCTTTGGTTTCTTTTACTTAGTGTAATGTTTTCAAGGTTTAGCCAAGTTATAAGATATAGCAGAATTTCAGTCTTTTTGTTGTTTGTTGTTGTTGTTGTGCTGGTTCTGGGGCTTGAACTCACTGTCTGGGTGCTGTCCCAGAGCTTTTGTGCTCAAGGTTAGTACTCTACCACTTGATCCACCGCTCTACTTCTGGTTTTTGTTTTGTTTTGGTGGTTAATTGGAGATAAAAGCCTTACAAATGTTTCTGCCTGAGTGGCTTTGAACCACATTCCTTAGACCTCAGCCTCCTGAATAGCTAGGATTATAGGTGTGAGTCACTAGAGCGCAGCCAGAATTTCATTACTTTTAAAACTGAAAAATGATTCATTGTATGTAAGTATATCATTTGTTTACCCACTAATTAGTTGGTAGACATTGAGTTGTTTCTATCATTTGACTATTGTGAATAATGCTGCTTATATACATTGATGTAGAGGTATCTGTTTAAGTCTCTGTTTACACCTAGAGTAGAATTGCTAGATATATGGTAATTCTATGCTTAATTGTTTATTTTCCACAATGGTTGTACCATTTTACATTCTTATCAGCAATGCATAGGGTTGTAATTTCTCCACGTGCTCACCAGCACTTACTAATTTATACTTCTGTCTTGCTCATTAGGAAAGCCATTAATTATGTTTTTGATTTTTGTTTGTTTGTTGTTTTTTGCGCCAGTCTTGGGACTTGAACTAAGGGCCTGAGTGCTGTCCCTGAGCTTCTTGTGCTTAAGCTTGAAGATCTACCACTTGAGCAACACTCTACTCCCAACCTTTTTTTTGATAGTTTATAAGAGATAAGCAGCTCATGGACTTTCCTGCCCAGGCTGGCTTTGAACCACAATCTTCATATCTCAGCCTCTTGAGTAGCTAGGATTATAGTCATGAGTCAACAGTGTCTAGCAATGGTGGAATGAGTTTTTAAGAGCTCATTTGTCCATTGGTGTATCTTCTTCAGACAAACATCTATTCAGATCATTTGGCCACTGTTGGGCTATTGGAGTTGTCTGTATTTTTGAGTTGGAAGAGTTCTGGAATCAAGTCTTTTATCAGTATGTGATTGACAAGTATCTTTGCTGTCCGTGGACTATAACTTCCCTTCCTTGATCACTATCTTTTGAAGCACAAACATGATTTAAACTTTGATATTCCAATGTATAATTTGATTGTGGTTTTGAATTTTCATTTAAGAAATCATTGTCTAACCAAAGCATAATGATTTACTTGTATACTTTCTTCTCGATGTTTTGTACTTTGATCTCTTACATTTACTTCTCTGGTTTTTAGGTAATTTTTGTTTATAGTATGAGACAGAAACAGAGATCTAAATCATTTTTCACATGGATATCCAGTAGTTTACAGACCATCTGTTGAATATTATGCTTATTTCAAGATCTTGACATCCTTCTAGAGATTATTTGACAAAAAATGATTGTTTCTGAACCAATTTCATTCATTGACCTATAGGTCTCATTTTGCTTATTATGACACAGTTTTGATCATATCTTTGTAGTAAATTTTGAAATCAGGAAGCGTGAAACATCTAAATATGTCCTTTCTAAAAGATTGTTTTGGCTATGTCCCTGTTAACAAGGAAGACATAGTGTTCATGCTTAGAAAGGCCTTCATGTAAGACTGACTCTTAGATAAACACTTGAGTGTGTCTATGTGTGCAATATGGTACATGCTCAGTACTTGATCTTGTTCTGGGAGTCTCAAATTTTGGTACATGTTAGGATAGATGACATTATGATGCAAATGTCTAATAAAAATCCAGGCCAGGGCTGGGAAGGTGGCTCAGTGGTAGAGCACTTGCCTTGCATGCTCAAGGCCCTGTGTTTGATTCCTCAGCACCACATAGGCAAAAAGAAAAAAGCCAGAAGTGGCATTGTGGCTCAAGTGGTAGAGCGCTAGCTTTGAGCTGAAGAGCTGAGGGACAGTGCCCAGGCCCAGAGTTCAGGCCCCATGACCGGACCCCAAAAAAAAAAAAAAAATCCAGGCCACTGAATCCCTAATGCATTCCCTTGTGTGATTCCAATGGAAGCTTGTGCTTTGTTGCCTACAGACTTTACAAACCTTTTCCTTTTGCCAGTTTTATTCTGAATCCTTTCACTGTAATAAATCATATCCATGAGTATGACTATATGCTGCACTCCCATGTTCACCTAGTGAACCATATACCTAAGTAAGTGGTCTTAAGTACCCATAATGCAGTTGCATTTCCATTTTAAGACCAATTGGCAATATATTCAAAATACCTGATAAAATTCTCATAAAGACTACAATGCACTTGTAGGTCAAATTTTAGAGAGTACTGCCAACTGAACAATATTATCTTCAAGTCCATTTAACTGGATCTTCCCTAATTTTAGTAATGCTTTATAGTACTTACTATAAATGTTTTGCCCTTTTGTTAAATGTATTTCTATGTATTTTATACTTGTTTTTTGGCAGCAGTTGGGTTTAAATTCAGGTGTATGCCCTGCCCAGCTTTGTTTATTGGTTAATATAGAGTCTCATGAGCTTTTGGCCAGAGCTAGTCTCAAACTATCCTCCCAATTTGAGCTTACCCAGTAGCTAGGATTAAGATTTAAATCACCACATCCACTATGGTGACTCTGTGTATTTTTTACTTTTTTGATGTACTTATAAATAGCTTTGTTTTTTTTATCTTATTAGAAATGAAATAATTTTCATGGCATAAATATACCAAATTTATTTGTTTATTTTTTATTGGTCATGGGGCTTGAACTCTGGGCCTGGCGCTGTCCCTCAGCTCTTCAGCTCAAGGCTAGCACTCTACCACTTGAACCACAACACCATTTCCGGTTTTCTGGTGGTTTATTGGAGACAAGAGTCTCACGGACTTTCCTGCCTGAGCTGGCTTTGAACCACCATCCTCAGATCTCAGCCATCAGTGCTCAGCCCCAAACTTATTTCTATTCCTTGATCTTGTATCCTGCAATCTTGATGAATTTTTATTAGCTTTATGTGTATGTGTGTTTGGTGCACATTCTTAGAGTTTTCTCTATAGAAGAAAATCAAGTCATCTACAAACCAAATAGTTTTGTTCCTTTCCAGTCTGGGTGCCTGCCCTTCCTCCCCCATCTCCTCTACTCCTTCCTCCACAACTCTCAATTACTCTCTCTCAATTTCTATCTTTTTTTTCCTAATTGTACTGGCTACAACTCTGGGTACAAAGTTGGAAATGAACTAAGTGTTATTTGTCTCTTTCCTGTGCTTCAGACTTTTTCCATTCAAATTAATTATGTTATCTAGGGGGTTTTTATAGATATTAAGGAATAGTTATTGAGGGATCTCAAATTCTTTATTCCCCTCATATTCTTATCATGAAATATCTTCACCGATTCAGGTGATCATGAACTTTTATTTTGTAGTCCATTAATATGGTAAGTGATTTTGATGGATTTTTCATACGTTGACCTTAATTTTGTGTTCTTGTGGTTATAATGAATGATACTTTACTAGTATTTTGTTGAGAATGTTTATGTCAATATTCATGAGATTGGTTTTCTTGTAATGTCTTACTGTGATTTTGGTGTCAGGTAATGTTCTCTTTTCTTCAATTTTTATTTTTCACTAGAGTATTCATTCTTTTTGTTTGGAAAAATTTACGAGGTTATCTTTTACCAATGATAAAAAAGATCAGAGAGATTTCTTTCACATCTAGCAACATACCTAGCTCTTCCTTATTTTGTATATATTTTTATTCCATTTGTATCAGTTTTCTTTTGTATTAAGAGCTTATTTTCCCCATAGGCTTGCTTGTTAATAAATATGTTTAGCTTTGGTCTGTAAAGGTTTTTTGTTTTGTTTGGAGCTTTTCTTGTTTTTGTTTTTGTTTTTTTTTGCTGGTCCTGAGGCTTAAACTCAGGGCCTAGGCACTGTCCTTGAGCTTCTTTTGCTCAAGGCTAGCACTCTACCACTTGAGCCACAGTGCCATTTCCAGAATTTTCTGTTTATGTGGTGCTGAGGATTCGAACCCAGGATTTCATGCATGCTAGGCAGGCACTATACCACTAAGCCAGTATCCCAGCCCTGTTTTCAACATTTTTAAGATGTCACACCATTAACTTCTGGTTTGTGGATTTTCTGAAAAACAAAACCTGCCATTCTTTTCTTGATAGCTCCTTTTTTTTTTTTGTTGCTTTTAAGGTTTTTTTAATTTTAAGATATTTTTAAATTTGAATTTAAAATTTTCAGCAATATGGTCATGCTATACCTCAATATAGCTGTATTTATGTGTATTTTCTCTGTGATCCATTGATTTTCTTGGTTTATAGTTTCATCAGATTTGAAGACATTTTTACCTATTATTTATTCAAATATAATTTCTGTTCTCCTTTTTCTTTCTCTTCAATCAGGACTTCAAGTAGACATAGACCACTTAGTATAACTGCACAGAAAAACTGATTCTCTGTTGAATCTTTCCAGTCTTTTCCCCCTGCCCCGCTTTGTTGGCTGTGGGGCTTGAACTTAGAGCTTGAGCTCTGTTCCTGAGCTCTTTTGCTCTAGGCTAGTGCTCTACCACTAACCACTAGAAGTAGAGCCACTGCTCTATTTCCTGCTTTTGAGTGGTTAATTGGAGATAAGAGTCTCATGGGGACTTTTTTTTTCTTCCCAGGCTGTCTTCAGACTGTGATTCTCAGATCTCAGCCTCCTGAGTAGCTATGATTACAGGCATGAGCCACAGCACCTGGCTTTCTTATTCCTTTTCTATTAACTGATTTTTCTACTAATGCCTTTTTTCTACTTTGCTAAGGAAATTTCTTTTGGATGATTGTCATTTAAATTTTACACATCTAAGCTGGATTCTATTGATCATTTAGAATTTTTCTTTTTTCTTTCTTCTTCCCTCACTGCCTTCTTGTAGTGCAAACCAGGACCTCACTCATACTAAGTAAGTGCTACCATCGAGCTATGCCCCCCAGTCACTTTTATGCTCATTTAGGCCAAATCAAGAGTAGAATTATTGTATAATTAATTTAGCTCTACATTCATGTATAATACTTCTGAAATCCCTATGGGATAGCTCTTATCAAATAAGTCTTCTCTGGCTGGATGGAATGTAAAACATTTTGTTCCATTGTCAACTCAAGAAAATAGTCTTCCGGGCTGGGAAGGTAGCTCAGTGGTAGAGCGCTTGCCTTGCATGCTCAAGACCCTGGGTTCGATTCCTCAGCACCACATAAGCAAACAGAAAAAAGCCGGAAGTGGCGCTGTGGCTCAAGTGGTAGAGCGCTAGCCTTGAGCTGAAGAGCTGAGGGACAGCGCCCAGGCCCAGAGCTCAGGCCCCACGACCGGACCCAAAAAAAAAAAAAGAAAATAGTCTTCCTGCAGATCTTTAGTTATTATTCTTTCATGGGTAGTTAATTTTGCATTTGTCTCATGGAATTTCTTGCTATATATACTCAAATTATTCAGACAAAAAAGGTTAGGGGAGAAGACCTCTAGCATATTTCTGGAGCTGGTGTGTGTGTGTGTGTGTGTGTGTGTGTATGCGCGCGTGTGTGTGTGTGCGCGCGTGTGTGTGCGTGTGTGCGTGCTGCTACAGGTGTTTGACCTCACAGCCTTGCGCTCTCCTTGGCTTTTTCCACTCAAGGCTGCACTCTTTCACTTGAGACATGCCTTCACTTGCAGCTTTTTGATGGTTAATTAATGATGAGATTCTCATAGATATTCCTGCCCAAGCTGGCTTCTGACTCCCATCCTCAGAGCTCAGTTTTCTGAGTAGCTAGATTTCCAGGTGTGAGCTAGATTTACAGGCATGAACCACCCAGTGCCTGACAACTGTTAGCTTTTTCTCTTTTCTTTTCTTTTTTTGCCAGTCCTGGGGCTTGAACTCAGGGCCTGGGTACTGTCTCTGAGCTTCTTTTGCTCAAGGCTAGCACTCTACCACTTGAGCCACAGTGCCACTTCTGGCTTTTTTCTGAGGAATGAAACCCAGGGCTTCATGCATGCTGAGCAAGCATTCTACCACGGAGCCACATTCCCATCCACTCTCTTTTCTTTTTTGACTTTTGTTTGCATAGCCCTTTCTTTCCAGAACACTCCTGTGCCCTGCAAATTCTAGCTGAACGACCTCCCTCAGCCATGATCAGTGCCTGTTCATCTCAGTGGAATTATTAAGCTCCTCACATCTTGCAGCCTGGTGGCACCTCCAGGCTATAAACCAGGTAGTCTGTTTAGTGACTACAGAGCTGCACTACGTGAGTCAGTGTTAGAAAATAGTGGCTCATGCACTTTGTCCAGCTTTTTGGCTGCCCTCAGTCGGAAGATATCCTGGACTGTCTTCGTACTGCATGTTCAACAGCTTGCCTCCATGGACATTGCCTGTGTTTAGTGTGACACTGGGCAGCTGGCCTCTGTTACAGCAACAGTTCTCTGTGCCTTTCCCAACAGCACCTGGGGTATATTGGATCATAACTCTGAAGTTGATCTTCTCCTTATTCCTTGCTCTTTTTTTCCTTTATTCTGTAGAAGAAGTGTGAGCGTTATTGGGCCCACAAGCAGGAGTCACTGCAGACTGGGCTTTTCTGCATCACCCTGGTGAGTGGGTCAAAGATGGGAACAGCAACCTACAGGGTCATCAAAGCTACAGACTCTAATGGAGATGCCCACGGTGGATAGCCTTTGGGCTGGGACTGGAAGGAGGAACCATTTTCCCTCAGTTCCCTCACACTGTGGGAAACTCAGAGAATGCCTGGGTAGTATCATGCAAATAGTCAGAATGCAATAATACTATTAAATATTGCTATCCATGTTTTTCTTGTTGTTGTTTGATTTGGTTGCTTTTGTTTTGGGTGCTGGGGGTAGAACTCAAAACCTCAAGGGATGCACTCTACCACTGAGCTGCACTCCAGTCCTAGCACTTTTTTTTTTTTTTGGTGGTTTATTGGAGGTAAGAGTCTCATGGACTTTGCTGCCCAAGCTGGCTTTGAACCACGATCCTCAGATCTCAGCCTCCTGAGTAGCTAGGATTATAGGTGTGAGCCACTGGCGCCTGGCTTTCCTAGTACTTTTATTTTGGTTTGAGCAGTTATCCTCATAGTATTAAACTCCTTTTTTGTGCAGTTCCAAAGAACTTGAGGAAACCTCTTGTCATACATGTACTTGATGGTCAATAAGTACAATGAAACCATTTTATTTGAAAACAAGGAACTCTTGTTTTCGCTGTAAATGGTCTTGTTTCAGTTTATATAGTAGTCCCTATCTGATAAATGAAAAGTTTGGGAGATATTTAAGTCAAATTAATATTTTTTCTGATTTGTTTGTTTATTGCTGATTCCGAGGCTTGAACTCAGGGCCTGCACACTCTCGCTTGCTTGCAGCTGGTGCTCTATTTCTTCAGCCATGCCTCCAGCCCAGCATTTTGCTGGTTAGCTGGAGTAGAGTAGCTAGCTGGAGAGAGTATCACATCTTTTTTTTTTTTTTTTGCCTAGGCTGGCTTCAAACCTCAATCTTCCAAGTGTCAACATCCTGAGTAGCTAGGATTAAAGGTGTGAACCTGGGTTGCTGGCCAAATGAACTTTTAAAAAATGTTTTTAGTATTTGATTTTTGATCAAGAATGCTTTTCCCCTGCCAGGCATGGTGGTGTATGACTATAATCTAAGCACTGGGAAGATAGAGGCAAAAGCTGGAGGCTACCTGAGCTACACAAGGAGTCCCTGTCTCAAAAGAAAAAAAAATTCTTTTCTTTTTTATTTTTTTTGTTGGTCATGGGGCTTGAACTCTGGGCCTGGGCACTGTCCCTCAGTTCTTCATCTGTGCTCTACCACTTGAGCCACAGCTCTACTTCCAGTGGTTAATTGGAGATAAAGAGTCTCACAGACTTTCCTGCCTGGGCTGGCTTTGAATTGTGAACCTCACACCTCAGTTTCCTGCAGAGCTAGGATTACAGGTGTGAGCCACCGGCACCTGGCCTTTTCTTTTCTATAATGTGTTTTTTTTATATCATTTGTTCCCCCTTCTCCTTAATTTCCTTTCTTTTCTAACTTGCCCCATGTACTCAGACAAAGGAAACACAGCTGAATGCAGACATCATTCTCAGGACTCTCCAAGTCACATTCCAGAAGGTACTGAAAAGGTTTTTGCTTGGAGAGAACTATTTCTTCTTCTGTTTTGTTGCTATGTAAAATGGACATGAATGCAGTAGATTCCCACCCCCTGGATCAAATCCAGAGTCCCCCATGTGCTAACAAGCCCTAGCATGTAGTACCACCAAGCTGCATTCTCAGCCATATCTAGTGGATTTTAAGGACAATGCTTAGAGTTGGGCCTAAAATGCAGAAGGAGCTCAGTGAAAGCATTTCTTTTCTATTCTTTGCTCCTCTGCACCAGGAATCTCGTTTGGTGCACCAGTTGCAGTATATGTCCTGGCCAGACCGTGGAGTTCCTAACAATCCTGACCACATGCTCACCATGGTGGAGGAAGCCCGCCGCCTGCAAGGATCTGACCCTGGACCGCTCTGTGTCCACTGCAGGTTTAGAGAAGGGGCTTTAGGAAACCTGGAGAGGCAGAAGGAACAGGGATGATGGAAAGAGGTTAGGAGGGGAAACTGGGCTTGCATTTAGTCTTGACTTCTGAGTGCCCATTTAATTATGCTACATGACTGAAATTGTTAGCATTTTTAAAGCACTGACTGCTTTCTCCAGTAAACATACAACAGATGCTCAACAATAAATATGGTGTTCCTTTGACCGATAGTCTGGGCATTCTGCATACCAAGAGACCCTGCAGGGATCTCACCCCAACTACAAATGCCCCCATTTAAAAGGGTTTGTGGCACCGTGGTTGTGGTAGTACAAGCCTGTGATCTCATCACTTGTCACTCAAGGACTGTTAAGAGTATATTAGACTTCGCCAGAAAACCACACGGACATCCAGGTACAAAGAACAAGGAAAAGGTTTATTACCAGTAAAGGGACCAGCAAGACCCTGTCTCACAAGAGAGAAATGCCAGCTATTGCCTGAGGTGACCTATAACCTACTGAGGCTAGAAGGGGCTAGGAGATGGAGACCCTGCTGTGGACGTGTGGACCAGGGGCTTCATCATTTATGGCTGCTGCCCAAGTAGTAGATAAGGGACTGCAGCTGTCCAGACCTGAATCAGATCACTCTGAGAGGATCTTTCTGCTTATATGGTGGTAGCTGCCCCAGAGGAGTGCCATCTCAAGGTAAAGGAGGGAGTTGGAGGCTGATTATTTACTGTCTTTACTTCATGGGCCCAGTGTTGCCTAAGAAAGGAGCATGCTAAGCTATGGAAAGGGGAAGGAGTGTGCTAAGCCATGGGAAGAGAGTTTATTGGGCTAACAGGGGCAAAAATATCCCAAGTTCAAGATCAGCCTAGGCAACACGTGTAGACCCTGTCCAAAGTGATGAGTGAGGAGGAGATGGGTGAGCCAGTGAGGAGGCCAGGGTGTGGGCAGACCCTGACAGAGCGCGCTCTGGTTCTCCCTCGTTAGTGCGGGCTGCGGGAGGACCGGCGTCCTGTGCACGGTGGATTACGTGCGGCAGCTGCTCCTGACCCAGGTATGATGAGGTGGTAGGTGTGCGCGGTGTAGCTCTTGCCCACGAGGCTGCTCACAAGCGCCTCTGTCTGCCCCAGAGAGTCCCGCCCGGTTTCAGCCTCTTCCAAGTGGTCCTGGAGATGAGGAAGCAGCGTCCATCAGCGGTGCAGACCGAGGTGTGCAGCATCTTCCCCGCCCCGCGGACACGGTGGGGGGGGGGCTCCACGCTTCCCCAGCTGCCCTCCCCCCAGCTACCCTCCGGACACCCTTGCCTCCGCAGGAGCAGTATCGGTTCTTGCACCACACCGTGGCTCAGCTCTTCCACGCGGCACTCCAGCGCACCAGCTCCCACCACCCACACGCCAAGGAGGTGCGGAGGCCCCTTCCCATTCTCCCCTCCACGCGCGTGCGCGCGCACTCACTCCTGAGAGCCAGCAGGGGCTCTGGGGGCCGCGGCTCCAGCGCCCTGGGACGGCTTCTCAGGCTTACCTGTAGTTTCCGTCTCCCCATCTCCCACCAGAACTGCGCCCCCCTGTACGACGATGCCCTTTCCCTGCGGCCCTCCCCGGCCATCTTGGCCAAGCCGCGCCCGCCCGGCGGGGTCCTCAGGTACGGCCTGGCTCTCCCTGCCTCTCCCTGCGCCTCTCAGGCTTTGAGCCGCTCCCCGAGTGGAGACGCCCGTCCCGGGGTCCCACGGCCCCGAGTGGACGCCCGTCCCGGGGTCCGTACTTCTCCGGGCACCTCACGTCGCGCAGTTCACACCTAGCCTTAGGTGCTTTGGTCACAGCGGGCCCTCCTGGGCGCCGGCTTCACCCCTCGTCCTCAAAGCTGCCCTCCATGGAAGGCCTTCGCCATCCCCGCCCGCCTCCCATTCAGAAATGCCCCTGCAGCAGTGACCACCCCCAGCAGGAGTGCGCTTCCCGCCTTCCCACCCCGCGGGCCTCGGCCCTTCCCATGCACCTGAGAGCCTGAGTCCGCGGAGAGAGGCGCGCGGCGGCCAAGGACGGCCTCGCGCCCTGGAGACCCCCGGTGCTTCCCCGCGCCCCGGGCAGGAAGGAAGCCGCGGCTCAGGCCGAGCACACCCCACCCCCCGCCTCCTGGGCTGCTCTGGGCCCTCTCACTTCCTCCCCGCCGGGCTCCCCTCCCCGCCTTCCCTCCCAGGAGCATCTCCGCGCCCGGGGCCCCGACCCTCCCCACCATGGCCGAGGCGTACTACGCCGCTGTGCAAAAGCGCGGGCCTCCCGCGGGCGCCGGGCCGGGCTCGCTGCAGGCTCCAGGCAAGGGAGAGACCCCGGTCTACAGCCAGGTGACGCCCCGCGCCCTGCGGGCTGCGGCGCCGGTGGAGGATTCGCTGGGGCCACCGCCTGGCCGTGGTAAGTCGAGGCCTGCCCAGCGCTAGGCTGGGAAGGGCTAGCATCTTCCCTCCTCCACCACCCCACCCCTGCCCTTCCTCCTGGAGACTCCTTCCTGGTGGACTCCTGTGAGCCCAAGCAACCCCGGGACCTGGCCCCACCGCTTCAGCCTGGCCACGCCTCCAAGGCTCATTTCCTGGCTTTCTTAGTCACACACACCCCTGGGGCTGCTGCTCCTTCAGCTCCTCTAGGCCAAACCACAGAGGGTAGTGAGGGCCTACAATGCCAACCTGTTTGTCTAAGCCTTACCCCAAAGCAATGCCCCTGACATGTCCAGATCCACGACACAAAGCCTCTTACTGTCTCCCACTCCTGGGCTCAGCAGCTGTTTGAGGTGGAGTCTGAAGACTGTGGAAAGTGTGTGTGTGTGTGTGTGTGTGTGTGTGTGTGTGTGTGTGTGATCTCTGTGTGTCTTCTGTCTGCAGTTCCTGATAACGAAAACCCTGCTCGATCTGATGCCTATGAGGAGGTGACAGATGGAGCTCAGACTGGAGGGCTAGGTAAGTCTCACACAGAGCTGGGTGGCTGAGCCCATACTTTGAGTAAACCTAGGGAGCGCAAAGCTTAGGGTAGGGAGTGGGCTTGGGCGCTCAGAAGCCCATGGATGTGGTCACCGTGGATCAGAGGACATCGAAAGGCAATGGCCTTTGCAAGTGGTCTACCACATCATGACTCAGCTTCTTTGTGAGACCCAATAGCACCCTTCCTCCCCCAGGCTTCAACTTGCGCATCGGAAGGCCGAAGGGGCCGCGGGACCCCCCTGCCGAGTGGACCCGAGTCTGAGTGCTGCACCTATGCTGACCTGTTGCCTACATGGGTACTTGTTCTGCTGTAGCCCCCATTCTGCTGAGCAATAATGAGACCACTGGACCTACATCAAAATAAAAGTTTCTCAGGGTATAAAAAAGAAGGGCTCTGCTTCCATGATTGTAGAAGTCTGGCTATTCAGGTGCCCTGAGCAAATTCAAGAAAGTACACCAGGAATGCACATTGTTCACTCCCACAAATAGCCTCACCTTACAACTGGAAAAATGGGGTACTGTCTCAGCCAGAGAGACAGACCAACCAACAGCCTGTCATACCACTCCCAGCCAGAGAGAACACCAGAGTCCCCCAGTCAGACTCCTCTTCTAGCTAGACAGCCAGATGGACTTCTAGCTGGAAAGCGTTCCAGGCAGATATAAATAGAACCCAGAGGGCCAGGCAGGTGTTTCAGCTAAAGAGACCCTATCCAACTTCCCAAATGGGAAGACTAATAGATCTACACTCCTAACTAGCCAAATGAACTGCTACCTGGATAAATCTAACCCCCTCAGAATGCTAAGGGCACAAACATCTCAGCCAGCCTGCCAGACTCCCAAGTAGACACACATGGTTCTCCGCCTAGGCAGGATCCACATTTATAGCAATAGATTTTGCTGTTGCTGGGCACACAGCTGGGCAGGATGGTAAATAGCCAGGTAGTCAACTGGCTAGACAGATGGATGGGTACTGAGATAGAGAAACCTCTCAAGCCTAGAGATCCTCCAGTATCCAGATCATCTCCCAGCTGGATAGATATTACATATCATCAGATCTTTCAGACAGACTCCCTGTGAGCAGCTAGGTATACTTGAGACCTTCTGATAGATTCCCTATTTGATCAATGGACCTTTAGACAGACAGTGAGCTAATGTCCAGCCAGAGTTAGATCCCAAGCTGATTGGCCATCTAGATCCCAAACTAGTTGGGACAGATAGATAGACTTCCAGCTAGACAGACTCCAGACAGATAGGGTAGTGGACCCCAAGTGTCCCAGATAAGTTGTTCATATAGACTCAGTCTTTGAGCTGCAAGGACACAGACTTCGCTTGGCAGACATACCTGCAGCCTGCTACACAGATCTCAAGCTTGGTAACTCCGGGTGGCAGGTAGATTGATGAGTCTTTGAGATCTCACTGCAAAATGGATTCCAGTCACACTGAATCCTAGCTTGACAAAACTTTCAGGATAGACCCATGGCTAGGCAGACATGTAGATCCCCAGCTAGAACTACAAGAGCCAGACAGACCTCTGGGTAGATATTCAATGAACAAGAAATATACAAAGAACAGCAACAAAGAACAATCAATTGTGTGTGTGTGTTCCTGGAATTGAACTTGGGGCTTTGAGCATACTGTGCAAATGCTCCACCACTGAACCACACTCTCAGCCCTAAGACAATATTTTTAAGGAGGTCCTGTCACTGTTCATATTTTAGATAAAAACAAGGCACAGAATACACAGATTCAAACCTTTACTTTTATAAGACCATGATGGTCTCAGTGTTTGGTATAGAAATATATGGTTGTGAAAAATGAAGCTGTGATCTTTAAATGAATACTAATTGCTAGTTATGGGCTGATTCACTGATCTTCACATAATACCACAATAGGGGTATCATCTCATGTTTCTTTAAACTGTAAAAGGCTGCATGTCAAAGTAGTAGTTTACACTCAGTTATGTGACCTTGAGGAAGTATCATAATTTCTCACTGGCTCAATTTCTGTCTATAAGATGGGGAAAATAAAAAGATTGTTACATTGTTCAGAGCAAGGGTGAATTTGAATACTTGGAATAGGTGAGAAAAGATTTTTTTAACTTTGCAGAGAAAATACAACTCTATATAGGAAAACTATATCTCAAATATGAATAAGTGAATATATATTTGATTATACATTCCACTTAAATCACAGTAGATCTAGTATTGATTATAGCTTCATTTTTTTTGATTTGGTGTGTGTGTGTGTGTGTGTGTGCCAGTATTAGGGCTTGATTTCAGGGTTTCTCCCTTTTTTGCTCAAAGTTAGTACTCTATCACTTGAACCATACCTCTAATTCTGACATTTTCTGGTTAATGAGAGATAAGAGTCTCGCAAACTTTTCTGCCCAGGCTGGCTTCGAACATCAATTCTCAGATCATAGCTTCCTAAGTAGCTAGGATTATAGGCATGATGCACTGGCACCTGGCTAGTTGCTTCATTTTGAGCCAGAGGGAAGAAAATATGGTTTATTGAGTATACTTGTGATATAGGCATTTAGGGAAAAGGTTTGAGTTGTACATCATACCTTAGAGCATGACAAGTTATAAATGCACTAAAAGATAAATGTAAAATATTAAATAATAAAAGTATTACAAAAATTATGGAAATTGATCAAATCACTGATCATACCAATCCTTACTAACTATAGAAAATAGAGCTGAACACTGGTGGCTCATGCCTGTACCTCTAGCTACTACTGAGGATTGTAGTTTGATGCTAGCCCAGGCAGAAAAGTTCATGAGGTTTTTTTTTTTTTTATCCTCAATAAACTCAAAAGGTTGGAAGTGGAGCTATGGCTCAAGTGGTAGAGCACTAGCCATGAACAAAAAAGCTCAAAGACAGCGCTTAGGCCTCGAGTTCAAGCCCCAGGACTGGCACACACACAAAAGTCAGATATATTTTAATTTGTGAAAATATTTCAACCTCATAAAAATCACTAGAAGCAAAGTCATACAATTAATTATAATCCTGAAAACATAACTGACATTAAACAAGATGTCCTCTTATGTGAAATACTTCCATGAATCAATAAGCAATGGCAAAAATTTTAAAATAAAAGTGTGCAAAGATATTCTGCCAGGCACAGTAGGAAGCACAGCAGTTAGAATTATAACACATATACTTTCACTATGTTAGCAAAGATAAAAAAGTTTAAGAGCACAAACTATTGCCTAAGAGATGAGGGAAGTGACCACATACAGCCAGCGAGTATCTAACTGCATACAGCCTCTATGGGCAAGAACAGTTTAGTTGTGCGTGTTCACGTATAAATGTATTTACCTTTGAATAATTTCTCTCGTTTCTAGGATTTTTGTCTTTGTGATTTTATTTCTAAAATTTGTCTTACATGGATACTCATAAAACATCAGGGTGACTACAAAATGGTTGCACTAGATTATTCATTGAAGCCCACAAGATTGGGAACACTTTATTCAATATAGCAAAGTCTTTTACTAAAATACATTCAAATTTACTTTAGTTCTTTTTTTTTTTTACTTTCATAAGAATATTTTAGATAGGCCAGAAAGAAATGAAAGAAAAAGAAATCAATGAAATGTGAATGTCATTTACAGCTGTATTTGAAATGAAGCCAGTATTCTGCACATTTTGCTTTGGACTATTGGTTCCCATTCCTTTGATGCTTGAGTCTTTTTGGGGGGCGGGTCTGGTCATGGGGCCTGAAGTCTGGACCTGGGCACTGTCCCTCAGCTCTTCAGCTCAAGGCTAGCGCTCTACCACTTGAGCCACAGCGCCACTTCTGGCTTTTTCCTTTTGCTTACGTGGTGCTGAGGAATCGAACCCAGGGCCTCAGGCATGCAAGGCAAGCGATCTACCACTGAGCCACCTTCCCAGCCCTGATAGCTTGAGTCTTGCTAGGTGGATGGCACTGAAATAAAGTGTTCAAAGCCATAAGAAGAAACAAAGACAAAGGCACATGATCCAGGAACCAGTGACGATACCCTACCTTGTTGTTTTCAAGCAGCTACTGTGCAATCTAGAATACACAACTTTCTGTAGAGGAAAAAAATATTTAAGACTGGTTTGGGAATAGTAGGCTTACTGATAATAGGATCTAGATTGAGGAGTGCTGTGGGCATCAGGAAAAAGCTAAGACATATAGCTCAGGAAGTCTGAGCTACTGGGAATCCAACAGCCTCTGTTAATCTTCTCACTTGGTTCCCCTTTATAGAAAGTTTGTTGTTATTGTAAAGGTGATGTACAGAAGGATTAGAGGTACATATGTCAAATAATGAATACATTTCCTTTCATCCAGTGTCATCCTTTCCCTCCTGTCTCCACCCACAAATTGTATTGTTCACTTTCAATAGTATGCAGTGAACACCACTGCTGTCCTTGCTCATCCTTTTTTCTTCAAGTCCGGTGCATCCAAAAGACAGCCAATTGAGCAAATCAGACAGAAAGGAAACCAGTGACAACAACAAAGAAAAAAACCCTTGTTTCTATCTCTTGGAGTTCATTTCAGAATATCAGTGGCACACAGGCACTGTGCCTCTGTGTTTCTCTCCTAAGAGTAACTCTTTTGGTCATACTCACTGTGTATAGGTGTCTAGAGTCTTGTATAATTTATCCTGTTCCAGTGTATTTTTAGATCTAGCTTCTGCTTATGGACAAAAACGTTTGCCATTTGTCTCTCTGAGCTTGGCTTACACTTGGCTCCTTCGCCTGCTTCCTCCTTCACATCCAAATGAAGCCAGTGCTCCCACCACGATCCACTTCTGCATCCACTTCTTCCTCCTGAGGCACTTTCTTCCCCTTCCCCTTTCTCATTCCCCACACCCTAGTTCACATTTGATCCAGCCTCTGCAAAACGTGGATTCCTTTCCCTCACCAGAACTCTATTCTGCTCCTTAAGTACCTGGGATCCACCTGTCAGCCTCTATCCCGAGCTGGCCTACCCTTGGGGCTAGAAGCCAATTCTGTAGGTCAGGAATGAGTCTTGTTCCATTTTGTTGCTTATGTTTTTGGAGCATACCCTGTACTAAGCAGTATTCTGTGACTTTTTGTGGGCCATACTTCAGTGAATATACTTGCTCCATTGTGGTCCTGAGAAATTGTCTCAATGGGAAGAGCCTGCAGAGTGTCCACTGCTACTTTAGCAATGGTCACAAAAGAAATCACTAAGCATCCATTGTTCACTAGGTGTGTTTGTGTGTGTGTGTGTGTGTGTGTGTGAATGAGAGAGACAGAGAGAGACAGAGGGACTCACTACATAATCCTGGCTGACCTCACAATCATCCTGCCTCTATTTCCCCAAGGGCGAGGATGCCTGTGCCCCATAGTTGGCTTCCCATGCATTTTGAAAACCAGGGAAGCCATC